CCCCCCCTGCCTTGCTCACCTCGCTGTTGCTCTGATCTGTGAAGGCGTACAGCAGGGCCAGGAAACCGCTGTAACCCCTCAGACCGCCTCCCTTCCCGTCGGAGGACGGTGGGGGGGCGAGGCTGAAAGCGAGGGGCGAGTCCCCCCCCCCAAGACCCAGAGATCGCATCAGCTTTTCTTCGTCTGTCTCGCAGCTCTCGCGAATGATGGGGTTCTGCGGGTGGTCCTTCTGCACACCCCCAAGACGACAAAACACGGCACGCATGAGGACATTTGGTTTTTCATGAAATGAAATGAATAAAATTGCTGTTCAACATTTTTATTGCACAAGTTTGGAGTGGGCTGCGATGGTCAGGTGTGTATGTGCGCAGTATAGAGGTTGTACTTCGTATATAGATTAAGGCTGTGATGAAATGCGAGAGCAACCAGGCGGAATAGCACGTGTTGGACTCAAATCTAAAGCTTAGATGGAGACCCCGTCGAAGGTGAAGGAGAAGGAAGAACAACAACAAGAACAACGAGAGGGACATACCGACAGACAGAAACCAAAGAGAAAATGAGAGAGGGAGAAAGAGAGAGAGAAAGAGAGAGAGAGAGAGAGGAGAGAAAGAGAGAGAGAGAGAGAGAGGCAGACAGACAGACAGACAGACAGAGAGATAAATAACAGACACGTTCTTCAAGCGTACTTGTTTTGTTTTGTTTTGTTTTTCTCCCATCATTGGACTCTGTCGTCTGCCACTCTGGCCCCTACCCTCCACTTCTACTAGCTAGACGACCCAACCGGGGTCACATAGGAGGGGGGGGTTGGACCCCCTCCTGCGGTTCATGCCTGAGACATTTCTATCGCGAGAAGGGTACAGCAATCCCTTCCCTCGCGACTTACGAAGTCGATTATGGTTTACTAACAAACGAGCTTTGCAGCGCATCGCTTTCATCCTACACCAGGATTTATTTAGTGAGAAAAAACTCTCTCTGTCGGGACTCGAACCCATGACCTGGCCCTTAGCAGGCTGCGAGGCTACCCACTAGACCACCGGGGCGACCAGTTGTACTGTACCTGGCCGGCCTTGAGGGCCTTGGCGTCCTCCGCCAGCTTGACAGCCTTGCCCAACCGGTCACACAGCACGTGGTGAATCCTCATCAGCACGTACAGCTCCTGCATCGCGCACACGGCAGCACACGGCAGCACACGGCAGCACACACATGGAGCAAGCAAGGATATGCCGGGATGTCAGTCGCTTTCTACTGTCATCTTGGCACTCTGACTACCCCCCCCCCCCCCCCCCCCCCCCCCCCCCCCCCCCCCCCCCCCCCCNCCCCCCCCCCCCCCCGAAAAAAAAACCTCCTGTGCGGTTGTCGTGTGCCAAAAAACACACTGAAAAGTGTAGCACTCCACAAACACCGAACAGTGTCGTACACGTTTCACCACAAAAAACGGGGGGGACTGCTGTCGCCATGATAAAAATGACGAAAACACACCCACAACCCCCACATGAAGCATCCAATCGAACAAGTCGGGTTAGGGTTAGGGTTAGGGTTAGGTAATAGGGTCTGCGTCCTCCCTCGCTGTTCTGTTTCTAGCCAACCTAACATTAATCGCGCGAAGACCGGTCCCAGGACGGTGACACCCCTTTCTTCCTGAGCGGCACACGTTCCTGCTCTCTCTGCCCTTTCCTCCGTCCTTCGTTTGTCGATCTCTGTTCTCACTCGCTGGCCATCTCGCTGCCCCGCTCTCCCACCCCTAACCTCCCTACCGACGTCACTGATAACACATTCATGATACCCAGCATAGCGTATGATTCTAGCGTGGGAGAAACAGATGATGCAGTGGCAATGCTGCTCAGGTGGTATCGATTCTTCATGAACTTCAGACGCACGACACTGTCATCCAACTCCCCCCCCCTCCCCCGGTTGGCGAACTCTACGGATAGAAGGGTTGTTATTACCCCGCAAAAACGACTTGTGTCTTTTCAATGGTCAGCTGGTTAGCGAGGTCGATCCCGATCAAAGAAACACACACAAGAAGCCCCAGAAACCTAGAATCGCCATCGGAACACGTATGGTGCGGTCGACGAAAGACTCAACCGTTACACACTGACGCGTACCTGCGTGCACAGCAGCACTCGCTCGCTCTCCGGCAGCACCGGCCCCGCCTCCGCTCCCCTCGCCCCTCCGCCGCCGCTCCAGGCCCCCGCCGCGTCCTTCCCCGTGGTCGACCGGGGGCTGTCAGAGTCTTCGGTGAGCGGCGACGGCGGCATCACGCCCACCCCTTCCGGCCGGACCTTAAATAGGTTTACATAACGGCAAGCTCAAGATATAATGAGGGTAATGAGGAGAGACATGCTTCGTAGGAGACCAAGATTGGGACGGCGGCATCACGTCCGCCCCTTCCGGCCGGACCTAAAATAGGTTTAAATTACGGCAACCTCAAGATACGCTTTATCAAGTCCACCCGTTCCAGTCGGGCCTTAAAAGAGGTTCGAGGAGGCGGCGAGATAAGTACGAAAAAGGCAACAAAGAGACAAAACTTAAGGGTGACATGTTTTGGGGGTGCGTGGGAGTAAGGTCAAGTTCTCTCTTTCTCTCCTCTCTCTCTCTCTCTCTCTCTCTCTCTCTCTCTCTCTCTCTCTCTCTCCCTCTCTCTCTCTCTCTCTCTCCCTCTCCCTTCCTACACACCTGAAGGATCTCTCCCGCTTTCGCGGTAACGCTAGCCCCGCCCGACATCATCGTCGCCTCCACCTCCACCACCACGTCCGCCGGGTTTCCACCGGGCACAGTAGGCGGTGCATCTGCCGGCGCCGGGCCCTTCTTGACGGCCGTTACTCGGGCTTCCCCTCTCCTCAGCAACACCTGAGGACAGAAGGGGTTTGCATCACACGTTCATTCTCAGGGTCGTGGTTGGCGAAACAGTCAAAACACGCGTGGTTCAGGGGGGGGGGTGTACTCATAGTCGTGCACGCCGTAGTCGTTTCGACCATTGACAAAACACACACGGACACAGAAATCATTGCAGCGTCGCTGTTCTACGGAGAAACGAAAACGGCATCACCGCCATCACCACCACCGCCATCACCGCCGCCGGCGCCGTTGAACAGCTAGGGGCGGATGACTCACCATCCAGCCCGCCTTCAAGTCCCCGACCCCGCTCCCCGGCGTGCCGACCCCTCTCACGCCGGCGCCGCTGTACACCTTGGAGACGTTGTGGCCGGCCGTCATGTCTTCCCATGACAACGACCCGCCCATCCACGCGCGAAGCGACGGCAACGCCCTGGACGAGAACAAAGCAACATAGTACGGCGGTTAATCCGATCTGTGGGAACATCTTCCGAGAGCGTCCTCTAGGACAATGGTCCGATGTACCATATTTTCCTATTGTTGTCTTCACATTAAAAAGAAACGTTCCGCTCGCTCTACCCTCTACCTTTTTCTGTCCGTACAATGGCCGGATGTCCCATGGTTCGATATACCAACCGTAGGTGTGTACAATGATTCGGTTATTGGATCGGCATCCAGAACACTACCATTATTCCGGGAATGACTAGGTTCTACAGCAGCACACACACAAATGGCTAACATTGAAAAACTCCAACAAAGGCCCCGCAGGAAAATGGCAGGTGGGCCAAAAGGAGAAGAGCAAGGGCATATTAAGGCTTCATAAAAAAAGCAACCACGCAGCCGACACCACTATATGCCAACACCCCTCACAAGCAGCAACCTTTAGGGTATCGCCATCACCGTAACACCTACCGCCACACCGTCAAGCACCGCCACCAACACTAGATCCATCCCAACACACTACCCAGCAACAGCCTCTTCTACCGCAATCACAAAAACATCAAGCAACCACCACGGATCTCAAGGGGGAAAGGTGGGACAAAAAACAAACAAACAAACAAACAAGCTCCTATGTGACCTGCCTCTCGTGTGACCCCGGCTGATGCGTGAGGTAAAAACGCCGAAAGGCCTGTAAACCGGCGCCAGAAAAAATGGGACAAACACACCTCTGTTGCTACCATCTTTGTCTTTATCCGGAGCATAGCTTGGTCTCCCCCATGCCGCCCCCTCACGGGGTCCCAGTTCATGGCAGTTACAAGTGTTTTGTGTCGTCAACCGCACTGAGACTGAGGTATTCTCATTCGTCAGCCGGTTAGCGCGGTCGATGCAAATAAACACACACACAGTTCATGGCAGATAAAGTGTTGTGTGTTTTCAACCGCGCTGAGACTGACGTCTTTTCATTGGTCAGCCGGTTAGCGCGGTCGATGCAAATAATACAAAAAGCACACACACACACACACACACACACACACACACACACACACACACACACACACACACACACACACACACACACACACACACACACCACGGATCTCATACGTCCGTACGCACGACGACTGAGACGACTACTCACTTGAGCATCTTGTTCTTGTCAGAGGGGGTGTTGCTAGAGTGCCGCACGGCGTGGAGCAGGAGCTGGTGCATGTCTCTCCGTACTGTGGACGGGGGGTAGGACAGCGCCAAGTGTGTCTGCATGAAGTGGGGCGCGCTGGACTCCATCCTTTCCCTGTTTTCGTGGGGGGCCCAGCACACGTACACACACAAGAGAGAGACATCCGGTTTTGGCGCGGTCGATGCAAATCATAAAAGACACACACACAAGGACAGCCGGTAAGCGCGGTCGATGGTGACAACGAAGACGCACAGAGAGACACCTGGTTAAATGCCGTCGAAGCTAATAACAAAGACACATACACACCGACAGCCGGTTAGCGCGGTCAATGCTAACAACAACGACAGGCACAGACGGTGAGCGCTGCCGATGCCAACAACGATACACAGAAGAAACAACACACACAAACCGAACAGGCGACGCGACGGAATGATTGGCAGAAAAAATCAAACCCCGAACAAATCGCAGCACCTAGGAGGCAAAGGACATGTCCAGCGATCACCAAAAACAAGAGAAGGCAAAGCGGGCATGGCCACGAAGCCACCGGAAATAATGTGAGGAGACGGAGCGGTCGTCGAAGCTCGTTGCTAGAGTACGGCGGTGGTCACCAAGCAACACAGACTCGGAGCGAGGCGACCTACAGTACCTCTCGGCCTTGGCCTGCTTGGCTGCCATTACTTGAGCTTCGTGGTCGGCCACCATCTTGTCCTGCATCCGGAAATCAGAGAAGCAGCAGCAACCGACCATAAAACAGAAGGTAGGGAGACCAGTAGCTCAGCAGCAACCAGGCCAGACAAAAAGCTCACAACACAAAACATCAACAGCTATGACTACCAACGTCACGAGCGATAAGCGAAACAGCAACAGACCAAGCAAAAGGTAGGAATTGCAACGGCTCGGCATACATAGCGATGACGGCGCAGCAGCAACCGGGCCGGCACAAACACCACAAGACGACCAACCGCCATCATAACCAACATCATGAGCAACAATCATCGGCCATCGCAAACCGGCCAAACAAATCGGAAAAATCATCAGCATGATAAACCTACGTCATGGACAACAATCAAAACCTACCACAACCGCGCCAGAAAAAAATGAATGAAATGATCATAAAAGATCGTAATAAACAACGTCATGAGCACCCTCCCCTCCCCTCCCCTCTCTCCAGGACGCGTGGTCAATGGTCGAACCACCAATGCGTGCGAAACATGAGAGTATCCCCGCCCCTCCTTGGGGCGCTCCGCGCTTGGTGATGCGACAGCTTGGTCCGGAAAAAATCGGGCGTGCTTAGTCTCAGCTTCGTAGGGATGGGAGTCTAACGATTACGATATCGCACGGTTATGAGTACCCCCCCCCTCCCCCTCACCACAGCCGCTTGTCGGGCCCCCTCCTCCCCCTCCTCCCCCGCCTTGCCGTCGCCGTTCTGAATCTCGGCCTTGACCTTCTGCTGCTGCTTGACGGGCGAGGAAGAAGAGGATGCATCGTTCGTCCCTTCTTGGTTACTCTCGTCCTTAATCTCTTCTGCCGCGGCCGCCTTGCCCTTGTCTCCATCGCCGCCGCCGGTACCTTTACCCTCCTTGGAGCCAGCCTCGTTGTCGTCGGTGTCCATGTCATCATCCTAAAAGAGGAGGGGGCCGGTAGAGGGGGGTACTCAGCTATTTGGGCGGGGTGCATGAGGGTGGGTACTCGACTGTAGCTGGTCCCATCACTTGGTGACTTCGTCACTTCGACCATCATTGTCCACCCGGAACACAAGTCCTCTCTGGTGCTACAAGAGATGTTACTTGTACGTTTGGTACGTCACAAGACGGCTCTGTACTTGCCTTAATGGATACCGTCCACACCTAAAACATAAGAAAAAACGCCCCATCTTCTCATCTATGCAGGAACCTCCATACAAATCAAGACAAAACGGCCGCAAGTCAGCGCGAGCGAGACCGACTTGGTCACTACCTTCTTTCCCTTGCCCTTGCCCGTGACGTCATCATCCTCGTCGCCACCGCAGCTGCTGCTGTTGCTAGCCTTAGCCGCCTCCTTCGCCGCGGCATCTGGCAAAAAGATGAGGCAACAAAGCAACAAAAAAGCAACCACGTTTCATCGCTTGAGGTAAGTCACACAAGCGAGAGGGATGGAGCCAGAGAGACAGAGACAAAAGGAAAACACGCTGAAAAAAACATCGCATCACTCAATCACATAAGAGAGCGGAATGAGGACAAGAAAAAAAAAAAACGTTGAGTTAGTCGAACAATGAGAGGGATGGGGCGAGAGGGAGAGAGAGGGCGCGCGCGAGAGATAAGAGGGTGGCAGAAGGAAAACACGTTGAAAGGGTCATCGATGCACAACTAGGCATCGCACTTCTGCTGTTCGAGCAGTGCCGAGACACGGGACTTTGGACAGCGAGGGCTACCTACCCGAGATCATGTTACATTTATAAATTGCTTTTCGCTTACCAGCGGCGTCCGCAAGAGCCGCCCTGTCCAGAGGCTTGGGCTCTTCCTCCTTCGCCAACAGGGCCGCGCGCCTGCAAAACCGGACCGACAGGAAGGTTGTTTGCTTCGTCGTTGGCGTTTGTAAAAAATATACACTGTGGGGAGGGCAGCTAAGGTTTGTCATTGTCGTGTGTGGACAAGAAGATCGAGGGGAAGGACATTTCGTTTTCCAACCACTCTGCGAAGGGATCCCATACCTAAATAGCGGCAGCCGTTTCAACAAAGAGAAAACACAAGAGTCTCGTTCTTCAAACCACAACAGAAGAATGGATTCATTGCTAAATCTATTCAGGCCTCTTTGTGCATGAATGTAGAGATCGATTCGTTGTGTCCCATCAAGAACAAAGCACAAGCACATGAACAACAAGAATAACGGTACCTGCCAGGATTCGTGTCTTCTGCGCACTACACACCTTGTGTGAGCGACTCTGATCAATGGATAGAGACGGATTCGTTTCGTCATATCAAGCAAAAAAAACATGGAGAACATAAAGAACAACAAGCAGGAGAAGAAGAGTGTTCGTGTCTTCCTACACACCTGTGAGTGATGTCGGCGACGAGAACCCTCGCGGAGTGAGCCTTCTTGTCCTCATTCTTGAGGTCGATGGACCGCCGGTCCAGAGACTTGTAGTAGGTGCTGCGCTGCACGTTCGACCACAGCTTGTTCAGCCGCTCCCGCGACTGCAGTCGAGCGCAACCGCGGAAAAAAAAAAGAAACAAGTAAGAACAGCATTCGAACCACACGAAAAAAAAAAAGTGCTCGCGTGGAATATACATAACCATGAAAGATAGCCGGGACGAGCACGGACGAAAAGAACAGTGCTCATGATAGAAGTATGAACTACTTAGGGACGGGCAAAATGCCGATAATTATTCCCTGAAACAAGATACGCATACCACAACACAAATTAGAGAGAGGTTGACCTCACTGCTCGAAGCCTTCGCATCTTCCTGGTGCCCTGAGCGATGAGAGCCTCGCGTGCAACAAACTACAGTGCGACATGAAGAGACGAACAAAGAAACGCACGAGCAAGCGCATCTTACTAAATGCTCCAGGGGGTCACACAGCCGGCTACCGCGGAGACACATGGTTCAGCGGAAAAAATGGCAACAGTCCACGGAAAACAAGACAACCAGCGACAGGCCTCACCACCCTCCACTCCACGTCCTTCTGCCTCAGCCTGGCCAGAATCACCGGGACCGTCTTGCAAGGGTTCTTCCGCAGGAGCTCCAGGATCTCCGCCCCGTGATCCCCGTAGATCCTCGTGATGGCGGCCAGCTGGACCGGGCTCAGCACGCGCCTGTCCAGCTTGAACTGGTACCGAGCCTGCCGAGGAGAAGCGGCACGCGGCACGCGTAAAAGGTCGGTGAGCCCATCAGACTCTTCGCGCGACGTCGCGCAGCTGATTCTGTCGTGTCGGTTGTATCGCTATTTTTGGGATTGCGTAGAACTGTATGTATGCTTCGTTCAGGCATGGGGCTGGCTGCCGCAACATTTTTTGTTGGATGGGTCTATTTAGGTGTCTTGTGCTGCGTGGCTGTCGTACGCTTCCATGTTCCGGAGCGGTATCATCTGCTACTAGTTTCGTCATGACAACATGCAAACACTGCCGTGGGCCTCCCGATAGATATCGGCATCGAACCTATCAGCCATCGGAGTCGATCGATCGAAACTTGGTAACTTAACCTCTCTCTCTGTCTCTGTGCCTCTGTGTCCCTCTGCCTGCCTCTGTCTCTCTCTCTGTCTATCTGTCTGTCTCTGTCTATCTGTCTGTCTCTGTCTCTCCCTGTCTCTCTCTGTGCACCTGTCTCCCTCTCCACCTCTCTTTTAGTCCCTTGAGTTTCTCCCTCAGACTCTCTTTCTGTCTCCCTCTTTCTTACCCCCGCGGTCTTGTCGATGCACTTGATTTCCTCCTCCATGGGCTCCAAGAGGTTGATCGCGCTGCTACCGGCCTCGATCACCATGTCCAGCTCGAAACGCTCGTCCTCACACTACAAGACAAAAACGATACACCAGAGAATGACAGAGAAGGAGGGGGGGGTCGGATGCAATGGTACACAAATAACGCTCAGACGTACTTTTGTTCCAACAAAAAGTGTGCACATCGTCAAGCACTCGTTGCAATCGTTTCTCCTCAAACACTGCCACAAAACACGACCACGGGGGGTCGGCGTCTTGCGATTTCTTCCAGCGAAGCACCCTTCTACGCCACGCTCAAAGAGCGAAAAACATAGTTTTTTTTGTTTTGTTTTTTGTTTTTCTCGCATCATTGGACTCTGTCGTCTGCCCCTCTGGCCCCTATCCTCCACTTCTACCAGCTAGACGCCCCAACCGGGGTCACATAGAAGGGGGGGGTTGGTCCCCCTCCTGCGGTTCCTAACTCACTCTGTCGGGACTCGAACCCATGACCTGGCCCTCAGCAGGCTGCAAGGCTACCCACTAGACCACCGTGGCGACCGTGTGGTACACGGTATAGTGTGTGAGCGTCTTTTTTTGTTATCGTGCTCGCGTGTCTCTGTGAAATCTAATCGTATCTAACGTTTTCTCGTCTGCTGTTTTTGGGGCAGGGAGGATAGAATAAATAATGGCACTAAACCGAAAAACGCCAACGCGCATGCTCTCGAGGAATCTGCTCGCCTTGAACAGGAGGTCCTCGTGCTGGTTCTTGCGCATGTGCTTGAAGGCCACGTCGCTTCCACCCCCCTCGGATCCCACGGGGACGCTCACCCACAAGTCGTTAAGCACTGATTGCTCCAGGGAGGTACGCTGTGAAGGGGGCACGCAGATAGGGATGGGTATTGTATTGGGTGTGAAGGGCGGACGGGGAAAAGCAACCAGCGCGAGAAAGGCATCCGTCATGGAAGAGCCTAAGGAGGTTGGGGTATAGAGGGGGTTTGGTGGAAGCGTTGGACCGAACAAGAAATCGCCGTGTGAGACCATGCTTCCAGCATGAGGAGGATGCGGAGAAAAAGACGAGTACGGGATTGCTAAAGCCAGCACTGCCCAAAAATTCAGATGAAGAAAGTCAACAAATCGACTCGAACGCGCGTCGTTCCGCACTGTTGTCACTCGAAACATACAGTAGGAATTTCAGAAGCAACGTGATCCCCCCCCCCCCAGGCGTACGTATGACGGTGTTGTCAGACAGCCTAGTCGTACGCCAATGCCACGGGGGGGGTCGCAATGTTTTTTCGCAGGAGGGAAAGAACAGAGGTGCTCCGCTTCAGCGAGTATTCATGGGCTATGGGGACAAACGACAGCAGCAACAAAAACAACAACCTGCGGTAAAGGAGCAGCCCCTTTACCTCGCTGCAGCTCAATAGCGGGAAGTTCTTGGGCAGGTGCCGGTAGCTAGGGCCGCCCTTCTCGCTCAGCGTTAGGTCCAGCTCGTTCAGAGGGGTATTGGTCCACATCTGTCCGACAAAAACAAAAACAAAAAAAGAAAGAAATATCAGGCTGTTAGTTGCTGGCTCTGTACCCGTGTCATGCTCACACCTGTTGTTAGGCTGGTCTACACCTCAACCAAGAACAAGGTGAACACAAGTCTCCGAGGTCTGAACGGAAACACAGGTAGGCACAAAACGCTGTCACATCGCTGCTCTGTAGCGGTCCTTTCGTAGAAGGACGAATAGTGTCACACTTTCTGGCGGCGTGTACACCGGGCACCCGGCACTATTCAGAGCATGAGACTTGAATGTTCCATCTGTCACGCGATTTCACCGACCTTATACACATGGCGACCAGCTTACTACTGCGGCCGCTCTTCTAAACGAACCACTGCTGCTGCGTTGTACCAGAAAATATGCACGAGGACAAAGCCATGCACCTACTGCTAGTGCAGGCTTGCGCCAAGCGTTCCCTGCACGCAATCGTGGACAACCTAAACACGTCGAGGAAACACTTATTACCATACCATGACATTTAGCCAGATCCGTAACCTGCACGTTGTCTGGGAGGCGTCTTGCTCCGCAGCAACCAAGTCAAATTGAAAAAAAAAAAAAATGGTGAACAGAACAGTATAGTGCCATTTTTCTTCGTACATACACCTCCGCGTGCTTGACACTTGCAGGGTTACCGGTGTGGTTCACCCTTATCCAACTATGCATCGAACCACAGCTGCCTCACTTTCGGCAACAAATTTGTGTTCACACACGCAGAGTTGATGCGGCAGTTCACCCTCAGCCCAACGTACTCTGATCCTCGACTCTGGCGTAGCCCCCCACTTTCAGCACTAACTTATTTTATTTTCCTAACATGACACCACTCTCTTTATCTAGTATAGAAAAAAAATCTAACATAGAACGGCAATTATCATGATTTCATACCATCAGCAATAACTGTTCCCCTAGAAAAGAGTCTAAAAGATAGATTAGCAAGGAATCCATAGCATGAGCGGAGCTATCTGTGTTTCGACAATTTCCGAGCAGCATACAGCCATACCTCCCCTGCGGGAAACAGGCTCAACAAGACTTTCTTGCCTCAAGTGCGTCATACCACAAGGCACCGAAACACAAGGACGCAAAGTACAAAGACCGGGACAACATGTCCCGTTTCACTCTTTAATTCCCCGCGTTTTTTCCCCACTACTCACCCCCCCCCCCGTGTTTGCCATCGGGGTTGGGTTTTCGTCGCTTGGCAACGACGTTGTAAAACAAGCCAATTCACTTCGTGAGCTCGGCAACCAGGTTACCGTTTTTTTTTTTACCTCTTTTTTTTTTTGGCGGTAACCATAATGGTGGTCGAGTAGATCATGTTGTGCGGGGTCGAGAACCCTCACTCCGCGCAAAGGGGATGATCGCACCACGTTGTATTAAAATGGTCAAGCACCATCGAGGCAGTTACACAGTGCTTACAACTGTCTCTGGAAGTGAAAGCACCAGAAAATAAATTAATTCATACGCAGCTGTCATCCGTACGCAAGGAAGTAAGCACAAGATGCCGAACACCCTTAGCAGGATGCAGCGCACCCTTCATGCGACTCGCCGAATATCTCACGGCGCTTCGCGCTTGGTGATGTGAGAGCCTGGTCCGGTGAGAACCCGGCGTGCTCCGTCCCGGCTTTGTAGGGATGCGAGGTCAATGGTCTAACGACTACGGCATGCACGACTATGAGTACACACCCCCCCCGCCCCCTACTCACCTCTGACGCAATCTCGTTGACTTCTCCCTGCTGGGACTGTCTCCGCAGCATCAAGTTGCAAGTAACATCCCCCCGCGGGTGGGGACCAAGCGGCGGGCGTTGGAGGGACAGCAGTGCAGCCGTTCCCAAGGAACAAACATGTTCGAGATCGAGATCGGAGTTCGATCGTCGCGGAGAGAGCCACCCAGTCGGACAGCCGTTTCCAAGAACGATTTTCGTAGATTGAGATCGGAGATAGTTCGAAGCGCAGAGGCAGCCACCCGGGCGGAGGGGGCAAGAGTGGAACGTTCGTGGTGTCANGGGGGGGGGGGGGGGGGGGGGGGGGGGGGGGGGGGGGGGGGGGGGGGGGGGCGACAGGGACCATAGCAGCAGCGAACGAAGGTACAATCACGCGGGATCGGATTAGAAAAAGCAATAATTTTTTGTGATATATTTTAACTACCAAGGCATCTCAAAAATACTGGATGATTGCAAGACAAGTGCATCGAAGGAAAAAAATGACACTATCGACGGTAGCGGTAGACAACACAAGCAATGGTTACTCTACAAGAGGAAAAAACATCAAAACGCGACCAATTTTGACGTCTTGACAAATTCCACAACAGAAAAAACACACACAACTACAAGTGAGATTTTCCTTAAAACGAAACAAGAACGGTTCTCAAACGTCCCGCAATACAAGAAAACATCTCCTCCACACGATACAAAAAAATAAAGTTCTCAAAAGTAGTACCTATACCGCAGTACTATTTCTATCAACAACACGATGACGACAAAAAAACAATGCTCTCAAACTCACAGCCTCCTTGACCATCCTCTTGAACTCCGCGTACAGCTCCGGGTGGTTGCTCTCGAGCAGGTCGGACACGAGGTGGAGCATCTCGTCCCTCGCGAGCACCTCCAGCTTCTGCAGCTGCAGCACCTTCGTGAACTCGTCCCAGTACTCCCTGCCGGCGCTCATCAGCGCGTGCTTGATCGAGGACATGAGCTCTTGCTCGGTTGTCTGGCGGAACAAAGGCGAAGGCGGACAAAAAAAAAAAAACGCGATTTAGATACACCGACTTTTCCTCCTCTCTCAAATCTAGAATTAAAACCGAAATCGACAACAAAAATACAACAGGAAATTACCTGTGGAGTACAAGCCTAAAAATAACGCTGCCAGACGAGACGAGAGAATACACGTATTTTTCCGTCGTCAAGCGTCAAGAATCGTACCGAAAGGTGTGAGGTAAGGACCGACGAAGAAAACATATTGGCACCGACTGGCATCACTGCCAAAAAAATCAGTGTACAATTTAGGGTTCAATAGGCCCAAAACAAGTCCAGTATCCAGCCGGTTTTCCTCCCACTCACTGTTGATAATTCAACCCATCCCTCTCGACCGCGACAATATCTCGAACGGGTAGTCTTCCTGTGTGTTTCATGTATAATTCCTAAAAATGGGATGGCGTAAAATTGAGTTTCCCTGCCGCGGATGTTATATTCTGCAACCGCCCGTGCTGCTGCTGCTGCTGCTGCTGCTGCTGCTTCTGCCGAAGTCCGTGTGGCGCTTTTTGATTTCCACGGGTTGAACTCAAGATCAACATCCCGACCCTTCCACCTGCCGACAAATTACCCCGGAGAGGAGTACATTTCTTATCCTTCTTTCTTAGGAAGTATGACAAACAAAACAGGAGGATATCGACTATTTAGACCGAGGACAACAAAAATACCTGAGGCACAGCGCGGTCTCCGCTCCCGACGTACAGTTTCTTCTTGCGCGATCCGCGGGGCATCCGCATCCCCCCTCCATCGACTGCGCCGCCGCCGCCGCCGCCGCCTCCCCCACCCCC